TTAAAATACAACGTTAATTTGATAAAACACGATTTGTAAGTTCCAAAAATTACTACTACTAAATATTATGTAAAATAAAAATAAACACAAGAAAATTCTTTAATTTTTTTTAAATTTTCAAATCTTTTTCTGTCAATTTAACAATTTTGAATTACGATAGAATAAATTCTATAAACTAATAATATATAATTATAATAAAATATATAATTATAATAAATAATAATATATAATTATAATAAATTCTAAAAACTAAAGTTTCTTGTGCGAAATTATCTGTTAACATTGGTTACCTATCAATAGTCCCAACTGACATTTTCCAGAAATAACGTTTGGTCGAAATTTCATAACCTCGAAAGGAATTTTGAGAGGAAAATGTTTTTTCTTTTAAACCTAACTTAACCTAACCTAAACGAACCTAATCGTGTCTTTGCGATAAACATTCAACATATCCTAAAAGAACAACTGTTTCGTTATAATTCGGTTTTCGGTGTAATGAAAATTCGAACAAACGTTATTCCGAACAATAAAATTTTCGAGTTTTTGATAGGTTACCGTTAACATTGTATTTTAAATAGGAAATGAGACTATTTTTCCGGATTTAAATCGCGTATATTTGATTTTTAAAACAAACCGACATTTCGGGCCCTTTACAGGTCCCATGGTCACGGTTGACTGAGGTGGTACAGTCTTCAACCACTTATGTCTAATATTAATGCAAACCACCCTATTTTTTCACTATAGTTACAATAGTTATTAATTAAATACCTTATTTTTAATTTTTTCACTATAGTTACAATAGTTATTAATTAAATACCTTATTTTTAATTTTACAAAGAAAACATTCCAATTTACGCTACATTAAGTTTTACAAGTTATTTTATTGAATGAATTTTTATGAAGTTTAATTTATTATTAATTATTAATAGAAATTAGAATAAACTAAAACATATTAATTAGTACTGCAGTCTTATGTCTGTTTGGGATTTTTCATTAGAGGAAATACTGGATCCCAAACTGGTGATACGGAGAAACCATCTTCCCTGTTGAAATTAGGATGTTTTTAATTTCAATGGCCTCTCGCAGCATCCTGGGTAGATAACGGACTTCTTTTGCAAGGACCTGGGGTTTGTCAAACTTCATTGAATGTGTAGGTTTATCCATGACATGCTCGCATAAATTGTTTGAAAAAACAAATATACGCGATTTAAATCCGGAAAAGTAGTTTCATTTCCTATGTGTAACAATCGCGAAAACCTAAGAACTCGATATTGTATTTTAAAGTTTAATGTTAATATGCTAAACTACTACCTAATCGCTGGGAATATTTAAATTGCAACAATATTAAATTTAATTATAGTATTCATGTTAATTTGCACTGTAGCAACATCTTTTTTCTCTCGCTCACGCGCAAAATAAAAACGAAATCCGAACTTTGTGACAATGATATGTAATACAACTAACCGTTACTAACCTGATGAGACTGTGGTATACGAGAGCCGTACATTTGTATGCTGTTCTGAAATGATGAACGCAAGCGTCTACATCGCACCAACATAGTCCGGACACTGTCCAATGTGTCCAATGGCAACACTTATAATGTCCAATGTGAATTAATCAATTAATAATACTGTTTAATTAAGTGACGTCTCAAAGTATCGATATTCCTGAGACTGACACCTATATGTTGATACATCAGTCGAAAATGCCAAGTTTGTCTGGAGTCGCGAAATTTTGGAGACCGAGGTTACCAGGATGAAATCGACACCTCTACAGTAGTGTAGAGTAGCCAACTTAATTTTTGAACCTGGTCCGGTTTTTTGTCTTATTTCGAATTTTATTTTTGTTTCTTTATTTTTTTCACAAAATTCGGCAATCATAATATTATTAAATAAATATGTTTGTTTACAAAAATAACAGACAACGACCAAAAAATAAAATTGGCGAAATAAAACAATTGCTTAGCCTCGCAAACTTATCTAAGTCTACACGATTTAGTTTTGTTTTGTTCCCGCAACGCACAGTTTAAGAATTTATAGCACCCTCTAATCACAACCACGACTATGAAACGAAAACAATTCTCAACAGATTGTTAAATAAAAAATAACTCTTTATTCCCATTGCCTATCCCAACGGATCGACGTGATGTTGGCTCGACTTAACGAAAATAGCGTAGCACGGTTCTGCTCGGCGTATTGAGAATAATTCACTACTTACTGTGTAAATAAGTAAAAATCAACCAAGATAAAAGACGCATGACGCGAATGAGGCTTCATACCTGACATTGCTTTTTTATTTAGTCGGGTATTACTTATGTGACAGTAATTGCTTCTAATGGAGAACGGGAGTAGACTCCCAGTTTCAGCGTATCGCGCATTTTGCAAAAATGCTGTAGACAACTAAAAAGTATCTAATCATTAAGGCATTTTCATGATACGTCTAACGCGGAGAGTAGTGATGAAAGAGACTTAGGGTCATATTCCAGAACTCTACTCAATGCTCAAGTCAGGATTTGAGCAGACTTGAGTATGATTTCAAGCACTGGAAATACAACCCTAATGGCAAGGACTTGAGTATGATTTCTAGTGCTTTGAATCATACTCAAGTCCTGACTTGAGCATTGAGTACAATTCTAAAATACGACCCTCTTTGTCTTTTAAGGAGTTTTATAACGGCTCGACTCCATTTTACAGGACTCGTCTCTAAAAATGAAGACTGGGTGTTCGAGTTTTTATTAATAAGACTCAGTCGTTATACTAAAAGACTTAAACGACTTGACGACTTGAACCACTTGAAAGACTCAAACGACTTATACCTATTTTATGTCTTATTAAACCCGAAGTTTATAAATAAAAATGACGTAAGTAGTATGTAGTAAATAATCACGTTTATTTACTTATAATAAAAATCGTAAAATAAATACCTTGTGTGTAGAAATAAAATCACGCCATACGGCTCATGACTCGCGACTCCCGAGTCTATGAGGCGCCAGTTGTTTTAGTCGTTTTAGTCTTTTTGGTCGTTTTAGTCCTATAGCTTCCTACGGTTAAAAGACTTCGACTCGAATTAGTCTTCAGTTTTAGTCTTATGAATCAAGACTTGAGTCTTGACTAGTCGTGAGGCAATGAAAATTAGTCGAGATTTTTTAAAAGGCCTTAAAAGACTGAGTCTCTTTCGTCACTAGCGGAGAGATAGCATGCGTACTTTGTTTCACTTTTATATTAAAAAAGAAAAAGAAAAAAATTGCCTAGAATATCAAATAAGCAGCTTGATTTTGATTGCCTCTCCCGATCGGAAACTGCGTTTCTTCCGAGTAGAACGATTCCCAACTGGCCGATCGGAAACTTTTGACATTTCTAATCGGAACAATAGTTTGTTTTAATTAGAAAGATATAGTAGGAATCAGGTTCATCTTCTCGCTCGGAAACCCATCTGATTTCGAGACTACCCGATCGGATCGATTCCCTTTTGAATTAAAATCAGCCTGAAGGAGCGCTTTTTAATATGGGACAGGGCTATGAACAAGGTGGCGCCACCTCAAGTTGGAAATACGAAATACAGCGACAGATCACGCTGCAAATAAATATTTAACCTAAAAATATCATTATGGTTGTCTTTTCTGAAGACGGCGTAAAATGACAGTTAATTGCGCAAAAGTGCTGCCAGCTTGCGAGCAGCTAGTGATTGCAGTCCATAAATATTCTATCGATTATCGACTGAATATTGGTCACGCTTATGGAATAAATAGCTGAACTTGTTTCATTTGAATCATCCTCGACACATTATTCATCTAATTACTGAGCACAAGCTCATTTAAATTGTGAATTTTTCATACATAATACACTGTATTTAAAGTTTTTCATTTTAATTCAATGCAGATAATTCAATCCGGCTATTCTTTTTAAAATGCATATGAATAAAAATGTATCTCGATACTAGTAAGCCAACTGTCAAAATAAGAATAAAACAATAACGCAATTAGTAATCATTAAAACGTCGTAACTTTCAAATTCCAGTAATTTTTGGCAAAATTTAATCTTCTTTCACAATCTATCGATAAGAAAATTTTATCTTCTTTCACAATCTATCGATAAAACTATCGACAACAACTATCAAAAATTTTATGAAAACTGGTAACCCTAAAAATGTAATTTTACTCCGTCTTCAAAAAAGACAGACTATAGATAAATTGGAGGCCTCCTCAAGAGACTCTCCAATAGTCTAGAAAAAGATCAGTGGGTCCATTCAGAACCTTACGATAACTCAGTTGTCGACCGATACGATTTCTTTTCATTTTTATTTACAACACCCAAATCGAACGTTGAACTGTCGTATTCGAAACCGAACCGAAATGATGTCACACCCAAACGTTATTCAAAACACAGTTATTGAATGAAAGTTACCGAACGTCCTAATGTTTAAAAAGCAAGAATCTCTTATTATTTGAAATAAAGGAGAGGATTTTGTTAAATTTTAATAATTTAATTTAAAGCAAGACTATTGCATTTCTATATTTTAGGATTTTCATTTTTCTTATAATCTATTTCACCTACTAACTCCGTAAACTAAACTGTTGGATAACGATATCGTATTCGACACGAACGTGTAACTCGTATGTTCTGAATAGCTCCGAAAGTGCCCTACGATTGGAGAATGATATCCAATTGAACGACTCAGTTAAATTATCGAATTGTTTTGAATCGGGGTCCAGATGAGAGGTCACATGGAATGCTTAAAATTTCATAATAATAAAAAAATCTTGAAATGATTCTTTTTCTAATTGACTGAGAGGTTGACTGGCTATCTGTCAGCTGTGACCATGGGACCTGGGCCCCAATTTTGCTAAACTTGAAACCACTGGAAGTTTTGGGGCACGTAAGATGGAGATCAAATGCACACTTATTACTTTTATATTAAAAAAAAAATATCCCGAAACGCAACGCGTGCATTGCTGGCAGAGACGTGTTAATTGATAAGGATATAAAATGCAACTTATAACTCACAAAGCTCTTGTTCATCGCGCGGCGAACTTCGTCAGATCCTTCACCGTAAATCTTTTGGAAGAGAGAGTTCAAGGCTGCGTCCCCTTCAGGTTTTTCTTCTTCTTCCTGAAACCATTACAAGATAAATGGTGTGGTTGTCTGGCATAGCAACTGCCTCAATTCTCATGGGGGTAAAGCGGCAGATATTCAAACCATATTTGTATTGCAAAAACGAGCGATTCGTTCTGTGTACCGTTTAGGCTCTCGGGTTTCTCTCAGCGAAAAGTTTAAGGAGACTGGTATCATGACTGTGGCATCACAGTACATTTATTCAAATATTTTATATGCCCGTAAAAATATACATAATTTCAATAAGAAGAAGGTATCCATAATATTAACCTTAGAGCTAAGTCCAAACTCATGGTACCACGATTTCGTTTAACCAAGATAAACAACTTTTTTATGGGGAACTGTATACGTTTTTACAATAAGATTCCGGAGCATATATTAAGTTTATCATTGCCTAAGTTTAAAAACTACATTAAAAATATTTTGATCGAAAAATCATATTACAAAATTGAAGACTACGCACTATGGAAAATATGGGTGCGTTTCGGATCAAAAATCAATAACTTTTTTGTTTCTTAAAATTATGTCTTGAAATTTTTCGTTATTGTAGAGGAATATATAAGGCTTCGAATGTGATAGTTTGGTATAAATTAGTATAATACTTATTTTATTATAAAATATTAAAAATCAAAGTCCAATAAAAACGATCAATAAATGGAGTTTATTCATTTTTATGTTAGTAACTATTTATGTTTCGTAGGAATTAAGACATAAATATGCAACTACATTACCAAGATACATTAATATAAAAATATGAAAAGCTAATTCTACTTTAAACAATAACTGAAAAAAAATTAGTAGTGAAAGTTATTAATATTATTTTAAATGCACATTAAAGGTTTAATGTACCTATTGCAATTTATACCTATGTGGTTTGTATAAATATTTATTAATAGATTTTTGCCAACTAAACTTGCCGAGCTTCCGGATCTAAAATTAATTCGTTCACTTTCAAAAGATGTAGTGTATCCTCATCGAGTTCTTTAACGTTTTTGCTGTATGGTTTTCTAATGCTTGTTATGTATGGATCTGATGTGTAAAGAAGAGTATGAAATACGTCTTCATTTGTGGCTGCTCGGGAGCATTTTCGGGCATGATGAAGGCGAAAGTTTTTGTAATCCTTATTACGGGATTCTTGTGCGTCTTCCGAAAGTTGACCAATCGGAAGCACTGCAAAATGCTTTATAATACTTTCTCCGTGTATTAAGATTTTGTGAACTGAGGATGGCATATAGTACCATTCATAATTACTGACATAAATCCTGGCAGTCTCCATAGCATAACTACCAAATTTTTCCGCATCTACCATCACACCTGATGAAAGTGCTTGTAGTATTATTTAGAGACGTTTTATCAAAGTCACATCCACACCAGTAATTTCAGTAAGATATGCATGGTCTTCCACGTTTTCCAGAAGATGTAGATGGAGTGGTATCGGTTAAAACGCCTTCTGAAGTGGGTATAGTCACAGAATATTCCAAGTCCAGCCAATTGCTATTGTTCTTCAAAAACCTTTCTTTTTTCCGAGAAGCTTGCTCCCATTTTGTATTGAAAACGGGAATCATACGTCTTTGAATGTCTGATAATGAAGCATATGTTGTCTTCAGAGATTTGATGATTTTCTTTCAAAAGACTTGATATTGCTTCCATAGTTTTTCCTCCTTCGATATACGAAAGTATTATTTCACGTTTAGACAACTTGAAGGTAGACATTTCAATGTTAAAAAATACAATGTCTGTCCTTAACAAACGCGCGTATATTAATATCTTTTGAATCTGTAATGAACTATTATAAAATCAGCCCTTTATATACCATTTAAAAAAAAGGTTCGTGTGCAGAGTTTTGATAAATTTATTCACACACATAATGAGTGCAAAACTGATAAAGTTTGTCATAACTATGTTTTTTTAATAGTAAATAACAAAACTTACCTCAAACTATCAATAGAAACGATCAACACTCGAAACCGCAGTAGATAGTGGTTTTCCGTTTCTCGGACTCTTATCACATTTGTACCAATAACTTCGAAAAGCGCAAAAAGGCGCAGCCAATTTTTATACATGTTATTATTTAATAACTAGGCTACCATTTAACATTCGAATCTAAAGTAGGGAGGACGTTGGTAAGTGTCAAAACTCTTAATCAATTTTAAAAACACAGGTTTTTGTCCTTATTTCATTTTCGATTTATTTAAACGTAATTTTTAATACAAAATATAAATAAAGTATGTTGTGAAAATCTACAAAGAATAACCTTTTTAAAAATGTATAACACTTACTAATTTCTTATAATATTTACTATTCAAATTAACTTGCAAAGATGAGTAGTGAACTCCCTCAAAAATATTTTTTTCGTTCAATCATGTTTGACATTTTGTATAAAAAAAACTATACGTTTTTTATGGAAAAATGCTTCTGTATAAATTAGTTGCGTCATTAAACTATAAGATAAAATTAAAAAATATATCAATAACGACATTGTTCAAAATGATTTTTGATCCGTGCTTGTTCTACCATTTTCCATAGTGCTACGTGTTAGATAAAGATGTATGGAAAGACGACATGGCTCCAGAATCCACACAAATTTGATTCAAAGTGTATTCCATAGCATTTAAGTTTATTTGAAAAGAGCAGTTTTTGACTAGAGTTTCTTGCTCGTTCTTCTCAGGGAGGTCAGCGTAATGAACGAGCAGTAGCTTAAATGTGACGTTTTCAAGTGTAAATTTATTTTACCTCTCGAATAAATAATCTTTGACTTTGACTTTGACCTTCTGCCTGCATCCGTGGCCGAGTGGTTACCATGATGGTCTGCCACACAGAGGTCCCGGGTTCGTTTCCCGGACCGAGAGAAATATTCGTATTGTCTACATTTATTTCTCTCCTGAGTTTGGGTGTAATTTGTGTGGTTGTCTATGTGTGTGTCCATTGCACCCGCGATACAGGGTTTCCCTAGTGCGGGGCTATGAGTGATTATTATATACATACCATTTTCTTAATGTCCTTCTCTATCTTGTCCCAATTTTTTCTGAAAACGTTTGGAGGTTGCTGTGGTCCGGACGCGTCTATAACGGCTGGAGTAAATAGAAAAAAACTTACTTAGTACATATTCTTTATATTTGTATATATTTATTATATTGATACGTAAGACGGACGAGTGAAACATTTTACATTTTATTACAGAAAATTGAAAATTTATTAAAATTAAATAAAATAAGACTTAATGATGATATGAAACACCACCATAGACAATATTACCAGTACGCATTGACTTACAATTATATGGACGTCGGGTCCGCGATAAAAAGTGTCCGCACTTGTAAGGCGCTAAAATCGTATACAGAGCGCGACACTCCGCTTTAGTCTTCATTTGTTCTACGGACAGCGCGATACTGCGATGACATAACAATTTAAATTTCGAATAGGTTGACTTGGGACATTTTTTTCGTGGTTTTTGTATTAGACCCGTCGTCCATTTATTTGTAAGTCAATACCAGTACGACTGTAATTTTTGCAATGTAACGAAATAAGGCATTTTTCTACGATTTTCGAGGTTTTGCGCGAGATAATTGACACGATCATAACGTACAAAGCGAAAATGGCTGACTGAGCTCAAGCTTGCGGAAATCCGCGAACTGTTGGCACACACCACACAAACTAAGCATTTCTACTGTACGTATTGTTCTGTGGTCCGAAGCATATAATAATATTCAATACATTTTAATGCACAGATGGCGGCACATCAAGCTACACATTGACGGATTTTGTTCCGTTGCACTGGTAGCCATATTCGAACAAAAGTATGTAGCTTGATGCTGTTGACTGTACATTGAGCGTTTAGCGCTCCTCATTGTACTTCTGGGTCTTACGAGGATTTTTTTATAATACCAAGTGTCGGGGCGAACAAGTCATGCACCTGGTGGTGATGATCTTGGGGTCTGTCTTTGCGCCCATCACCATGAGACATAAGTTGACAAGTACCATGTGCCTGTAATTTCACCAGCACCCTTACCCTCCAAACCGAAACGCAGTAATGCTCACATTACTGCTTAAATTATAACTATTATATATATATCGAGCTTAAATATAAATATTGTGATTCAAAATGGCTTCCACCGCTTTATGCATGTAAATATGTAAAACAACCCGATGGGTCGTCAGTGAGTCATCTAAGTACATACCTTGCGGTATTGCCTTTATCTTCTCCTCATTGCCCTCTCCTTCAAGCTGTGTCCAGCGCAGCCCTTCCTTCTTGCGCAGCTTCACCTCAATCTTGGATGGTATTACATTGAATGTGCACATGTTTGGTATAATCTCGTGTGCTAGTTCCAACTCCAGGCTGTACTCGTTATCGGAGTTTGGAATTGGGCTTGATACCGACAGCTAGAATAGGAAAATACATACTTTATTTGTTAATAATCAGAATTGGCAGAGTACAATTTCCGCATCCTGTAAGTAACACTTAGAGAGGACAATACATCCTGAAATACTGCACTCCATTCTTTTTTGACAAAGGAGCATTAAGAATATATATCATCAACCCATTAATACGTCCCGCTGCCGAGCACGAGTCTCCTATCAGGCGAGGGTTTTTTTTTTCAGAATACAAATTGAACAGAATGAAAATCCCTGTATTCATAAAATACAGCTCCAAGTGTAATTTGACGGTCTCGTCGTTATCAAAGTCGTGTTAATCCAAAGAGTTTTGCAAAGACCGAAACAAGTGAACATCTAATTGGACCTTGTCGGGTGAATTCGGCATTTGAGGCACATCGAGTATATATCGTTCTGTCACACGTGAATACGACAAAGCTGTTCAACTACTAAATTGCTACAATATCCTAACGGTTTAATTACGTGAATCACCCCCTTGGGCATTTTTCATTAATTTTAAACTTAGAATTTTCCCGCCTATTCTGAAAATACGCGCTAAAATATTTTTTTTAAACGTCCATAGACAATATAACATTTTAAAAGAAAAAGTTCTTTGTTAGAAAGTTGGCCAACCCATTAATTTTTTTATGGAATATTTAGCATATATGTAATCTTTTATTTATATTTTTTGTAATAATAACTATTTTTTAGTTTGTTAGTGACAATTATATTGCTCTTTATATATTTTTTTTAATTTATTTATGCATGACCTCCCATGGTGAATCCACACCTGATTTTAGTCTAAATATTAGACGCAATAAACATAGAAAATACATATTCAATTTCGAGTTCTTAGGTTTTCGCGATTGTTACACATAGGAAATGAAACTATTTTTCCGGATTTAAATCCCGGAAGTGGTCACATGGTCACGGTTGACAGTCAACCGTGACCATGGGACCTGTAAAAGGCCCGAAACGTTGGTTTGTTTGAAAAAACAAACATACGCGATTTAAATCCGGAAAAATAGTTTCATTTCCTATATATATTAAATTGTAATATAGCAACATGGATAATACAAAATAAATGATTATATTATAAAGAAAAGCAAACAGAAAGAAACACTGAAACAACTTACGCTTCTATCTCCATAATGTACTTTGACTTTATCAGCTGGTGCATTTTTAATAAGAACTGTCACCACGACTTGCGACTCTGTTTGGTACCAGTCATGCTTTATCTTGGGTTTCGCCGGCTGGAAAGGAATTTGGAAAATTGTATTACATTATTTTACACTCAGGATAGAAAACCAAGAAGTAAATATTAACAACCAGATCCTAATTCATATTGATGTGGGGTTATATGAAGAGTTTATATGAAGCAAAACATGCTCATCTCAAGTACCTGGGAGTCCATCTGGTTAGAAGGTTAGCATGGTGAGATCATGTCATAGCAAAATGGAATCTACTCAAATACCCAGGATCATATTCGTCTTCAATTTATCTGAATTTAAATAATCTCAGTACAGAGTACTAAAAAAACTGACCTCAAAAGTATGTGGAATTACGTCTATTTGCTAAGTGTCATTGAAATATCCCCTAGTTCGCCACTATACAGGACTTGATACTGGAGATAATAAAAATAGGTTCTCACTAAGACACTACTCAAAGTATTTCGAGAGAAAAACGCCTTGAATTGGAGAAATAGCAAAATCAACTAAATAATTGCTAAAAGTAATTGCTCCTAAATTAAAGTTAGGCGCTATTTATAAAAATGACTCTTCATGCGTGAACAGCCACCCTTTGAGGTGGATGATTATCTTCAAAATGAAATGGGCCCACTATGGAAATACCCCCTTTCCAATAAAAAAAGAATCATGAAAATCGGTTCACAAATACCGGAGTTATCACGTAACATACATACAAAAAAAAAAGAAAAAAAAGAAAAAAAAGAACAAAAAGTCGAATTGAGAACCTCCTCCTTTTTTGAAGTCGGTTAAAACAGGATTATCTCGAGTATCTGAGGGGATTCATAAGGATAGAGAACTAACACGACAAGCTCATATCAAAGCAAAACAGGATGGAATCAAATACTGTAAGTCCATCTGGATCGAATATGTACATGACAAAATCATATGGGTAAGGGTGAAATTACAGGCACATGTAACTTGTCAACTTATGTCTTAGGGTGACAGGCGCAGTGGCAGTGCCCCTCAGATTTTTACAATTCAAAGCTCTAACTGGCACTGTAACTGTTATGGACAAGCATGTCGCTTGCCACCAGGCCATCAACTTGTCTGTCCCGTTACTTGATAACATAAAATAATCTTTTTAAAAAATGGGATTTACCCAAGTTCCCGTTAATCTGTCTAGATAGACGGCTGACATTGAAAGCTCACAGCAAAGGTTGTATCAATATAGCCTACACTCTGGATATTGGCTATTAAGTCACAAGCTCCACCAGCTCTTCTAGTGTGGAGTTTCTGCAGCATTTTGAAAAATCAGATACAAGATCTGGTTTCAGTGCTGATTTACAGAACCTATTCATTGTATATTATTTGACATAAGTTTTATTATTCATCAGTTTGTCAGTGTACCTAAAAAGTTTCCTATATCAAATTAAGGCTCCGTAATAATATAGTGCAGGAGAGATGTTGTATATGAACCTATATAAATGTATACCATGCATTATGTTTATTAATAGATGAGGCACTGAGTTGTTATTATACCCTTACGGCTTTGAATATTTTAATTAGACGACGTTTCTCTTAAAAACAGCTGTATTAAAAGTTATCTTTATAACATTTGTCTTTTAATTAATGTGTGACCTTAAAATCAAAATATTTCCTCTTGTTTCTTAGTAGAACAGTGGTCTGCTACTATCACTAGAAGATAGTCTTTTTAGCAAACATGTAAATGAAGTACTATTCGTAAGCCGTTAAAGTAAAATAGTTTCATCAATAACAACTCCACGCAAACATTTTTTCGCCACCTATTTTTATACCTACCCCACTTTTCGATAAAATTGGAGATCATGATACAATACGGAGCAAAACTAAAACATTATGAAATAGACATTCCACTTTATTAAATGCACCGTTTGTCCCGAAAAAAAAAAACAAAGAACAAAGCAGAATGAAAATCGTTTTCTAAAATTAAATTTCTATGCAGTATATAACCTAGAAATTGTTGTAATTTTAAAATATTACCTCGCCCGGGACGTCCTCCTTAGTTTCCGACATTTTCGAGTAATAATTTTAGTTAGATCAATGTGGAAGAATTTATTTTTGGTAGGTAACAAAACAACTGCTCACTTTTGCCGATTTTTCTAGACTGACATAGTGCGTTCTGAAAGTCAAGTAATAAATAAACGTAATTGTGTCATAATTATCGAAATGAAAATAATAAAATTATTAAGTCAAGATTTTACGCTATGTCTATGTTTAAATAGTCGTTAAAAATTCTATTTTCAGGGTGAATGTTTTCATTTATAGTAGTTTTAAAAATTTATACCTTGCGTATGCTTCTTTATATTTTGAACACACTTCCATCCGAAAATACTCTGCAGCATTTTGGATTAACGACTAAATGACGCCATCTAGTGAATTAAGAAGTCTTTATTAGCATGGTACAGGTACGTGTGGTCCCGAGTCATACCTTTGTATTTTGTAGCACTTTTATAACAGGTTCCAATAAAATTGAAAAATTTTTGCTTTTTTAAATTTTTAATAGCAAAAAGTATCTACCATATAGAGCTTAGTAATTACCTTACCTCAGTAATTGTCGAATTTTATTTTATTTGCTATAGCTTAAGAAAACAGAATCAAAATTTGTTTATACAGGATGTAACGGCACTAATCAGCTGCAAAAATGCATCTTTTCTGTTTTATGGGATTTTATTATAAGTTTCTGAAAATGATATCTTTTTTAAATTAAGTTCCTAATCATAGTAACAAAAGTAAGCCTAAATTCAACTAATTGACTGACACAGTTGTAATGAAATAAACAATTTATGAAAAATAATTTATAAATCATTAAAAAATTGGTACACAGTATGTGCCATCATATTTTTATTATTTCGCGTACATTTTTGTTAATATGAGTGCTTACATATATCCTGTATGGTTTTTTGTTTTGGACTTTGGGTAATATTTTTGGAGTAATTGGTCAAATTTCATTTTGTTGTTGTTGACTTTTTGTTTGTATTTTGTTCATTATATGTTGTATAGTTTTTTAGTAACCAAATAACATAATAATTGAATCCTTTATATTTTGTTTAGATTTTGTTTCATTCGATTTAACATCACTACGTCTCTAGAAACTCAAACTCAAACTCAAACTCAAACGTATAGTGACCCATGCTCTGTGAATTGAACTATTATTACTATACTACACACAAATCTCCTCTGGAAATCAATAACGGATTTTATTAATATTAACAAACTTAAATTGTAAAACTTATTTATTTAAATATCTGTAATGGTCATGTATATCGCGTTATTTTGTATTGTTACAAAAGCCGGAATAGACTAAAGAGCAGTGTTAAGTAGTTAAATATAAAAAAAGTTAAATTGTAACTCTCATGATTAGATATTCGCAAAATTCTTCACGTGAAACCAGAAACTTTAAAAAAAAAAAAAAAATAATAATAATAACGCACACACTCAACATAGCCCCGCACTAGGGAAACCCTGTGTCGCGGGTGCCATGGACACACATAGACAACCACAAATTACACCCAAACTCACGAGAGAAATAAATGTAGGCCATACAAATATTTCTCCCGGCCCGGGAATCGAACCCGGGGACCTCTGCGTGGCAGTCCGGTATGGTAACCGTTCGGCCACGGAGGCAGTTACTTGTTGTAACTTGTACTACAGTAATAATACTGTAGTACAAGTTTCTTGACATCAGAGGGCGCTTAACCAAGTTCTTGTATTCAAGTTTTTACTCCGTATGGTCTAAACTTATAGTGTAGTTATTATCTATGCTGTCAGCTGTCTTGACTCACGACCATACCATAGAGTACATCATATAGACTGACACGACTTTCACGTTATCACTTGCACTGTCATTTAAAAGTCAAATATATGGACGAATATTATCTGTCTCACTACCGCTACACATGTCTCTCAACCCTGACATTGGCAAAATCGTCGCGCAAAACGACGGAGCCATAGACACAAAAGTTGAAGTTGAAGTTATTATCTCTCATACAGTTGATAACTTACGAATTTTGCAAAGAATAATTTATGTTACTTTTACAACCTGTAGGATGCGTGTAAGTCATATTGAAGTCTACTTTCGCCTCAATTTTGTGTAACATTTGTCATAGGTTATGGGTTCTGGTAAAGTTCAAAATGTTTATTTTGTTCGGAATAAACCTTCTTCTTTATTACATTAAATAGTAGTAAAATTTTTTGCCCTTTGGGACCGGTTAAGTCGTATAATAAGGCATACTGCCAGATCTTAGATTTGAATGTTTCTTCAGTCAAAACTTGTATCAATTCGCATCCATTATCTTTGTATTTATTTATTCACAATTTCGAGTAGGTAACTATATCAGATTTAGGGTCGTATTCCAGAACTCTACTCAATGCTCAAGTCAGGACTTGAGCAGACTTGAGTATGATTTCAAGCACTGGAAATACGACTGTAATGGCAAGGACTTGAGTATGATTTCGAGTGCTCTATACCATACTCAAATCCTGACTTGAGCATTGAGTAGAGTTCTAGAATACGATCCTAAGTCTGCCACCTTAGCTATTTCTGCCGCCAAGCAGTAACGTCAGCATTACTGCATTCTGGTTTTAAATAGTAAGAGTACTGGTGAAATAACAGGCACATGGGACTTATCAACTTATGTCTGGTGATGGGCGCAGTGGTAATAATTGCGCACTTGTAAATTATAAAAGAAGAAGGATTAATTTTTATTACAAGATGCAATGAAACAATACCACACAGCCTTTTCATAAGTACATGAAGACCTATGATTTATTTACTATGAAAAATAAAATTAAAATTAATTATAAAATGATAACATATCAACAATCTACCGTGTTCTGAAGGTCATTAAATGATCTGCTTTGTGATGTCTGTTGCAGGTTGATAGAAACTGTAATTTTATAAATAACCAATATCAAATGGGGCAATAGCCGTGGTCCAAGTAACTCTATGTGTTCCTCTGCCCCTCGGTATCCGCTAGGATGTTTAATAGAAAGTATCTTACCACTTAACAATTCATGGTAATAAAAGTTGCTAAGGACTGAACTTGCCCACTACCAGAGTGGGAATCTCTGTCAAAACAAGGAATGGTGGGGGTGTGACGTACCAGCTACTGAGTGGTTATGTGCTAGCTTAGCAGTAAATAAGTTTTGTTGTTTGTCTTTTCTTAGTAAGTTATAGACAATAGCACATCGTGGTACACATTGACAGATCTTGTACTGTTGCATTGGATATTTGAACAAAACTGTATAACTTGACATGCTGTTGATTGTACATTCTCGTCATATCACTAAATAGTTCTAGATTATTTCAGAATTGTTAATAAAATACTGTATGACATGTTATAAGTTTTGCAATTACTACATATTGAAAATGAAACTAGTTTTTGAGATGTAAATTATGTTTATTTGTTTTATCAAATAAGTGAACTTTCTGGACTCTACTGGTCCCATGGCCTCTTTACCCAACAGCCTGCATAATTAAGTCTGTATTTACTTATACACCTTTTTATGACAAGTGATAAGTTAAAGAAAACAAGTCACCTTGATTCTGCCTTCATTGCTTTTCTAATCTTATCAGTACAGAATCATTGTTCTATTTCATGTACATATTTATGTGTATGGCAAATGTATGCTGTATGACATTGAACTTAAATGAAAAGAAAAACTTAATTGTACTAAATTTTTCGGCATTCTGTAATGGTAGAAACACCTATTTTAGTGAGAGATTTTGAACCTTCTTTAGCAGAACGTTCAAAGTTCTTTAACAAAACACATATCAGAATTTCGACAACTCAATAACTTGACCCCACAGTTCAGTTGGTAAGAGCAAAACTACGGTGCAGTATTGTCGTGGGTTCAAGTCCTATTGGGTCAAAAAAAATTTCTGTGTTCGATTTTTGTATTAATAAGCACAATAAAAACTAGTGGAGTTAATTAACATAAAATCTCAATAATAAAAAAGAACTTTAATTGAAATTTTAAAACGCTTGGTACAAAACAGAGACCATATATTACATACATACACGCACACACACATCGCCCTGCACTAGGGAAATAACACAGACAATAGACGATATACAAATATTTCTCCCAGTCTGGGAATCGAAACCGGGATCTCTGTATGCCAGCTTGGCAACAATTCGGCTACAGTGGTAATAAATTTACATTGTTATGGAGCAGAGTGGAAGTGGATTTTATAATAACCATAAATATAGCATAATTAACTTTATGTCGAGTAAATAATAATTTGCGCATTTCTTTCCAGTGTTGGAACCTCCTACATGTAACACGGAGACTAATTCGTACGAAACTGCACCGAAACAGTTCCACAATGAGTAAACGCATTGCAGTCTGCCAGATGACGTCTGTTGCTGATAAGGCTGCAAACTTGAACAATGTTAGCATGCTCGTTTCGTCTGCTGCTAAGGAGGAGGTGCAGGTGGGTAATATCATCTTTCATCTTATCATCCCTTTGGCTCGATGTTTGACGATCGTTATTAAAGCTCGATGTGTGTTTTGACGATGTTAGGTGCATACATCGAGTATATAAACAGAAATAGAGGCGAAATTTTATGTAATTTGTTTGAAAACTATTCTGCCAAATCATTACGGTGACAACTGCGTTCCGATTAGCCAGCCCGAATTCGAAACAATTGACGGGCGTCGCCAATCGTTTCATCTCAAATGGACCAGTTTAACTTGAGTTTGCAATAATGGGCGAAAAATTACATTTTTAAATAAATAAATATTAAACAACATCACAGACGTTGTTCTGATCCCAAAGTAAGTAGCTAAAGCACTTGTGTTATAGATATCGGAAACAACGACGGTACCACAAACACACAGGCCCGAGACAATATAGAAAATTTAGTTTCTACATTCACCCGGCCGGGGATCGAACCCGGGACCTCACTTGCCATTACCAATCCGTAAATAATTAAATTTGAATTTCAGATGATATTTTTCCCCGAAGCGTGCGATTACATCTGTGATAATAAAGAAGATATAGTTGCTAATGCAGAACCAATTCTCACTGGCGATATTGTCGGTAAATACAAGGAGTTAGCAGCCAAACACAATGTGTGGCTGTCAATGGGTGGCGTACATGAAAAGGTATACATAACATTGAAATACTTTGACTGTAAGTTATTCTGTGAGTTTTTCACTTCTAATTATTGGTTAATTATGAATTTGGTTGATTTTGTTCTACTATTAAGCTATTACTGTTTTATATTGCTTTCTTATCTCAAAGTCTCAATTATCTCAAGTATTTTGACTACAGACATACAGACAGAAAGGCTTGAAACTTATAACTCTTTTTGTTTATTTATTTAATCTTTTTGCGCAATTCATTGTGTACAAATGGCGGACTCATGCCATAAGGCATTCTTCACTCTCTCAAACAGAAAAAAATAACAAAAGGTTGGTGCTACACTTAAAACAAATATAAAAAATATCATAAGCCAAAATTTGATTCTTAACACTCTTTTTTTTAATGGCGTTTGATTAATCATATTGTATAACTGTACTGAGAATTTTCCTAAGATATATTACATAAAAAATAAATGAAATATATAATGGAAAGAATTATATAACTATATTTAAATTTCCCTCAATTCAGGACGAGGCAAACCCTAACAAAATGTACAACACACACTTAATAATCGACAATGAAGGCGAAATTGTGCAAGCGTACAGAAAACTACACCTTTTCGATGTAGAAATCCCCGAGAAGAAGCTACGATTGAAGGAGAGTGATTTTTCACACGAAGGCGGACATATTGTCTCGCCAGTTGATACACCTGTTGGGAAAGTAGGTAAATAAAATAATGTGATTGCTATGGTGTGGTTATAATATAGTGTAGTGAAATTGTAGTATAATGTGGTGTAATTGTATTGTAATGTAGTGTAATTGTAGTATAGTGTGGCGTATTTGTAATTTAGTGTAATGTGATTGTAGTATAGTATGGCGTAATTGTAATGTAGTGTAATGTAATTGCAGTAAAGTGTAGTGTAGTCGTAATATAGTGTAATATTTAGGTTTTTGTTTTTACTGTTAACTTTTCTGACTGGTTGTCGTCTACGAACCCAACACGTAGGTACTGTACGTTGCTAGGTGGCACTTACGTCCTTTCGGTACAGCTTTGTCGAATCGAGGGCCTCAGTGGCCCAGTGGTCACTGGTGGTTTTAGATGTGAAAGTTGTCATAACTTTGTCACAGGTGGCGCTATGGCATAAAAGTTTAAAACATGTAAACCCAAAAACAAAGTCCTACAACAAGCACGTAGATAAATTCGTAATAATAATATTAGAGATCGCCGAATATTATCCAGCCTATTTTTACATGGTATACTAAATAATACAATAAAATGTTGCAATATTCTGAATAAAATATATATTAACATACCTTATGACACCCGTCATAAAATAACCAAAATATTTAATGTACCACGATGCCGGACGAACCTAGCTCTGCACAGTCTACTACCTAGAATATCCTCTACTTACAACCAAATTAACGTTGAAATAGATATACCGCCCTGATAAGCCGAAAAGCGCTATCTCAATCGGAGTAAGTTTTGAGAAAGTCGACTTTGAAAATCGGTTTCAAAAATTGAGATATAAAAATACTTCTTAGTGGTTTTTTAATGTTTTAAATTAGATAGCGCTATTTCTATTATAGCATTAGATGCGAAATTATTATAGCTATTGAATGGTATAAAAAAAACTAAAAGGGCGTATGTCAGAGATAGCGTCTTTTGGCTTAGCAGGGCAGTATAGACATTTTTCATTCTTCCCTTAATGTTTTCAAAAATAACATTCTCCAATCGCTTCCCCAGTAATTTCATATGTCTTTGTTGTCATTTTTGTTTCTTATTATTATTTTATTGCATTAAATGCTGTGCACGTCTGTAATAGGTAGCCATATAAGTACAATCCTAATAAGTAAAGTTACATTGTTATCTAAGAGTATAATATGTTCGTCTGTTGATTTATAAAATAAAATAAATAAAAAAAAACAAAAATCTTTCTGGTTCAAGTCCAGCCGGATCGAGGGTATTTTTATTTGTGTTTGTTCCATCTTTGTATATAGACAGTAATAATATGTTATTTTCAGGTATGGCAATATGTTATGACATGAGATTTCCAGAATTAAGTACATCACTAAGTATATTAAAAGCTGAGATATTGACATTTCCGTCTGCCTTTACCCAGACGACGGGGGCGGCACACTGGCATGTTTTATTGAGGTAAGTTGGATCAACGCTCGAACAGTTATTTTCAGAGTAATTTGTATTAAGAAGAATAGTATTTTTTTAACCGACTTAAAAAAAGGAGCAGGTTCTCAATTCGACAGTATTTTTTTTGTATGTATGTTTTCGCGATGAATCCGAACTTTGTGAACCGATTTTGATTTTTTTTTGTTGGAATGAGGGTACCTTGGTAGTAGTCCAGTTTAAATTTGAAGGAAATGTTCTACCTCTAAGGGTGGCAAACTAGGGGATGAATCAGGTTTCGCGTAGTTTCCGGTAAACGATTTCAATAAAATTTTGCAAATAGAAGATGTAAAAAACTTTTGAGGTCGGTTTTTTAGTACTCTGTACTGAGATTATTTAAGAATTATTGTTTGTGAACACACACACTCATAGCACCAAGGAAACCCTGTATCGCGGGTACCATGGACACACACATATAGATACGACAACATTTCTTTGTCCCGTATTTTTTCGGGATACGGGCCATCACTTAAGTACATTAAAAATTAACGTTATTTTGGGATAGGTAGGTTGGCTTATTTATCTAAACTTCACACAACCTTCATAAAATATCCAAATTTTCGGATATTTTATGAATGATCCGAAAATTTGGTGATTGCGGAGTATATAGTCTACTTACCTATCCCAAATAACGTTAATTTTTAATGTGCTTAAGTTCTCGTAAGGAAGTCACCGCTTTCTGGCTCTGTTCCTCGAACTTTAGGTGAAAATAGTCTACCTGTTCTGATCACATTTTTTTTATATTAGTAATACAGTCCTGTCCAAGGTAGTTAGTATTTTACAAAAATGTTGATAAAAACATGAAGTGTCTTTTTTACAGAGCACGAGCTATAGAAAATCAATGTTATGTAATAGCAGCCGCTCAGGCTGGCCAACATAACGCCAAAAGAAAGTCTTACGGCCACGCGCTCTGTGTTGACCCTTGGGGGGACATTTTAGCCGACTGCGGGGAAGAGAGTCCTTGTTTTAAAATAGCTGAAATATCTATACAAAAATTGACGGATGTTAGGAGAAATATGCCCGTTTTTAATCATAGAAGGTAAGATTATATACGGGTGCAATACAATAATATTCAGGATACTATTGAATAGAATAGAACACAAATAGTTTATTACTTGCCACAACAAAAAAATACACAGTAAGAAAGATAAAAAACAAAAAAAAGATGAAGCTAAATTAAAACAAAAAAAAAAAATAAAATAACAAAAAAAAAGGAATAAAAATAAAACCATACACAACAACAAAGCCAATTGTGTCTACCACGGTGCTGCAGCGCGTCGGGCATGCTTGCCGAAGCCCGAACGGTTATTTTCCAACACTACTGTGTTCCGCAAAAAAAAACCGGCATGAAAATGGTGTCCTGAAGATGATTGCCTGAAGATGATTTAGTTCCATTCCTAATACAGGTATAAATTATTACAGAATGAAATTTTGCAAATTTCCAAATTTCATTCTTTAATAATTTATACTTGTTTATTGTTTAATGTAATTTTGTATTAATTAAATTTATGAAATTTCTTTGTATAATAATTTAATTGTATTTAAATTTTATTGAGTAAAATATAATTATTACTAACATTAATTTTTATTATACATATGGAAGAAATTTCACAATCTTTGGAAAACGTGAAACGTGAGATTGGGTGTTGGTACTAGTGTAGTTTTATCTGTGGTATTATATTATCTGTGCTAATACATTTTATTTACTTCAGAAAAGACGTATACTCTCTTCACGCGTTGAGTTTAAGAAAAACTTTGCTACCGCAACACACACCGAATCCGGATCCGTGTGATGAAAAAACCGCAGAGCAAGAATGTACAGGACCGACTTATGCGTTTGGTCATTGCAAAGTGCCAGCGGCTTGTGTGTTCTACAAGAGCGTTTTGACATTCGCCTTTGTTAATATTAGGTAAGTTTTATTTTTAACCGACGTAAAAAAGTAGGAAGTTCTCAGTTCGCACACACTCAACATAGCCCCGCACAAGGGAAAATCTTGTGTAGCGAGTGCCATGGACACACATACAGATAACCACAAATTACACCCAAACTCACGAGACAAATAAATGTAGACTATACAAATATTTCTCCCGGCCCGGGAATCGAACCTGGGACCTCTGCGTGGCAGTCCGGTAGGTAACCATTCGGCCACAGAGGCAGTTAAATTCGACTTTTTTGTTAGCCTATTTTGATGTTTCTTTTTTTGTTGGAAAGAGGGTACCTCAGTGTTGATTTTTTTTTATTTTAAACTTTATTTTCTTAAATTTTTTTTAGCACTTTCCAGTAACCGATTTCAATAAAACATAGCAAATAGATGTCATTCCATGAACTTTTGAGGTCGGTTATACCAAGTGACGGGACGAACAAGTCGTGCGCCTGGTGGTAAACGACACGTCTGTCCATAACAGTTGCAGTTCCACTCAGAGCTTTAAATCACAAAGATCTGAGGAGCACTCACAGCAGCACCCTGAGATATAAGTTGACAAGTCCCGTGTGCCTGTAATTTCACCAGCACCCTTACCCTTCCAAACTAGAACCCAGTAATTCTCACATGCTTGGCGGCAGAAATAGGTAAGATGGCAGTACTTCCCTGGAGGAACTCTTTTACAAGGATTTCCACTGTTACCAATATAATAATAAATTTCGTTTTGAAAAATGAGTTTCATTCGATTGTTATTAGAGATATTTTAATAAAATTTTCTTTCCTGCGTTCAGTAATAATAAACACGACAAGGCTATGAGCTTATTTAACTGCAAGAGAGTATATTTTATTTCTAAAAGGCAAATATTTAATTATCCGGAATATAGTTTCATTTCTGTACGGTTCTATCTGTACAATATGTGCAGGGGAAGTCATCTTCTCAGATCAGCAGTTTACTCAGAACAGTCTTGTCTATTGTCCAAAATAAAGTCGGCTTAATTTTGAATTTTTGTCATTTTAGGCAATTGTCTTTGTGGACAGTCATTTCGCTGCTCATCCATAGAGCCTGGATGTGAAAATGTCCTATTCTCAGAACTTTCAATAATGATGTTTTACTTTAAATTTGAGAACAATTACAATATATATGACTTAATTAATAACTCTACATGTAAAGGAATCGTAAAAGTGTGGCTCCAAATATAGACAAATTACAAATGTGACTCTTATAAATACTGTGTTGCTGCTTTTCATGAATACTGGCCCAAAGCAATACAGTTAATTTGATTTTTTTTTATTACGCAGCCGTATTCGAAATGATTAATTATTATTGCTACTAAGAAGCCCAGCTTGTCATAATTATGTAAAAATATTATGATAATTTTGTGACAAACTATATGCCTTCGTTGCCTGATGAATCCGGTAGTTCTTGAAACCGTTGGTATGTAAACGGGTCATAAAGAGTGGCTCCAAACGTAAACAAATTAAAGATGTGTCATGTGAAATCAGTCTCGACTGTGTTGCCCAGAATTTAAAAAATTACGGATGTGTGTCTAAAACTAAACTATTTTTTTTTGTGATATGTCATTTATATTTACATATTCCAAATCACAAGTAACAAAAAATGAGTCTGAAGTAATATTTAAAATCTAACTTTTTCTTTAAACTTTTGACTTGATGAACAATGTGCACCACGTGTTATTTTTTTTAAATTGTGTTTTGGTATTTTTAATAAAATAACAAGCGGTTAAAGACCTTGTTTGTGAAAGTATAGTTAATGTTGTTCATTTCTTATAAACATAATTTTAAAAAAATACTTTCATATTTCTTATAAATGGCGCTACGGCTTAAAAGTCGTTGACAACCAAATACAAAAATCCGACAACAAGCACATAGAAAAATTCGTGAAGTGCGCTGATTCGTTCCGTGACTTAGTTGGCATAGCGTGTGGTACTTGCTAGAAGACATCGGTTCGAATCCGGCCGGATCAAAGGAATTTTGTCTATGTGTTCGATTTTTGTATTAATAATTATAACAAACCAGTAATTTCACAAAAAATAATTGAATATCGATTCAAAAGAAATAAACAAAATATTAACAAATTGCAGATGCGTGACACCCGGTCACGTATTGGTGGCGCCGATTCGTGCCGCTGAAAGAAATGAGGACCTGAGTGAAGAAGAGGCCATCGACTTTTATAGAAGTATCAGATTGGTGCAACGGGTATGCATATATTGTAAATAGTATGTTGACTAGCTAAAAGAACTGTTGACTTGGATTTAAGATAATTTTGTGACGGGACGAATAAGTCTTGCGTTCTTTGGCAAGCGACACACCTGTCCAAAACAGTTACAGTGCCACGCAGAGCTTTAAATCGCAAAGATCTGAGTTACCACTGCGCCCGTCACCCTGAGACATAAGTCAACAATTCACCAGCACCCTTAACCCTTCAAAACAGAAATAAAGCTCACATTACTGGTGACAGTACATCAGTAGGAGCACGAGGACATATTTATCCTTTTGGTCCTCGTGCTCCTACCTGTAAGAGCATGGATTCCCATTTATATGCGGATACGGTTTTTTTTTTTATGAATGATATTTTGCAGTTGGCCGCTGATGGCCTTTACTGCGCCACCGGAGAAAGAGGGCGAGCTGAAGGCTCATAACCCCGAAAATAAACTTAAAGCTAAGTAGCGGGCCTGAGGGCGCCCAAGTAGGCACGGACCTCGGCTCAGGGCGCTACTGGAGGCTTCCGCCAGAAGGGCGTGCTGTAGGAGAGAATCTACCACTGTACGTGCTGAAATGAGGGGCTCGACGACCTCGCCGGCGAGGACGGTTGGTGCGTGAGGGACGGGACTGACTAGCGATCTGGTTGGCCTTCAAAGTGGCGAGAGTGATAGGGTCGTCAGGGTCGTTGAGGACTTCCCTTGGCCGACGGGTCCTACGTACGCGGTGGGGTTGTTCCCTGAGGGGGTCGTAGGAAGATGCAGCCACCACGAGGGGGTTGGGGTGGTGAGGAGCAGAGTCGAAGTATTTCCTCGATGCCTGTTTCATGAATTGGGCTATTGTGGGGAGCCGTAAATCTATATGGAGGTTAGCGTTGCGCAGGTACCACGGGGCACCCGTCGCGTTGCGCATAAATCTATTTTGGAGAGCCGGCAGACGGTGTATTAGCGCGGGATTTGCCTGAGCGAATGCGACGCTGGCGTACGTCATGATTGGGCGGATACAGGTCGTGTACAGTCTCACCTTATTGCGAAGGGAGAGTTTGCTATCCTTGTAGAGAAGGGGATGAAGCCGGCTCATAACAAAGTGGGCGCGATCGCGGACGGTTTTCACGTGTGCTTTGAATGACAGCTTCCTATCGAGCGTAACTCCTAAGTATTTGACCGTGTTCACCCAAGGGATTAGGCGGTCAAAGAGCGAGATCGGGGTGAGGTTTTGTACCCTACGACTGGATAGGTTACTTCGCGTGAAGAATACCGCCGCGCTTTTGTCGGGATTGACTTCGATTCTCCATCTGCGAAACCACTCGCCTAGGCGTGTGGTGGCAGATTGGAGAGCCGCGGAAACTAGCTTGGAGCTGCGCGCCGAATAGTAGAGCGCAGTGTCGTCGGCAAAGAGGGCGAGATTTACTGCCTGATACTTCGGGATATCGCAAGTGTACAGGGAGAATAAGAGGGGCGAGAGGACAGAGCCTTGCGGGACTCCGGCTCTTACGGGGTGAGGGGAGGAGAGTGCGCCCTCAACTCGGTAGCGGAAAGAGCGGTTCGACAAGAAGTCTCGAATGATGTGCACGAGACGATCAGGCACGCCGAGATTATACAGCTTGTAAAGTAAGCCCTTGTGCCAGACTTTGTCAAAAGCTTTTGCCACATCGAAGAAGAGGGCGCCGGTGGGCATGAAGCGGGGGCGATCAAAACCTTCGGAGATATGTTCCACTATCCGGTGCACTTGCTGGACGCATGAGTGCCTAGCTCTGAAACCGAACTGTTCGTCGGGGAGGAGATTGTGGGACATGACGTAGTCTCTGAGGCGGGCGTATAGGATGCGCTCATAGAGTTTGCCCATGGTGTTAAGCAGGGAGATGGGACGGTAACTGGAGGGTTCGGATGGAGGTTTCCCGGGCTTGTGAATACCGATGGCCACCGCCTCCTTCCACTTTTGCGGAAAGATGCAGTTGGTCAGAGCGGCGTTAAAAATTGCAGTCAGGAGACAGATGAGGGGTGCAGAAAGCTGTTTAAGGACCTTGTTGGAGATACCGTCAGGGCCTGGGGCTTTGCGGGGCTTAAGGTTCTTTATGAGCGATTCTACTTCGTTTGGGGTGACCGGGGGGAGAGGAGGGTAGGAGGGCGGGAGGGTTGCTCTGAGTTCGACTTCGGAGTCCACCTGGAGGAGGTGGATCGGGTGCGGATACGGTGTCACCCACACCGTATCTATATGCGGATACGGTGTCTCCCACACCGTACCGGCCAGATGAGTCGCGGACGCCCCCGGCCAATCAGAGGTCATGAATTTACGAAATTCTTTTCACGCTTGCTCTGACCGGCCAGACGCGTTTAGGCCGTCCGTATCAGTGACATTCAATAACCTTAATATTCCATGTAGTGATAATTGTTGCAGTTAATGGAGAGAGTTCATAAAACGCGCTCGTGCACCGTCACCATTCAAGATGGATCTGATGCCGGACAGACTGTAAAGGTGATTGTAATCTATTGTTTAAATCCGTCTTCTTTAAAATTAGAGCGGATTGCAGCCTTCGTTTTCTTTTATTCACTAGTCCCATTCTATAACAAGCTTCATAGATAAGTAAAACTCTACTACTCATTTGTAAGGCAGATTTCTCTGAAAAGAATGAGAGAGAAACTCTTGAGAAACATTTCTATAATCCGTCAAACCATTTGCTATGCTTTTGATATAAACGTGCCTATGAAGTTCCCTAATTATTGACAAGCAATCATAGACAAAAATGCAATACTTTATGGACTTTGTTTTTTCTTTACTATAGTGAAACGATGTGTTCTTTACATGGACCTACCAACAAATGGACATCGGGCCTAATACAAAAACCACGAAAAAAATGCCCGAGGCTAACCTATACAAACGTAGTGACATGTAACGAAATATAAAAAACTAAAACATTTAATTTAAATTGTAACGTCATTGCAGTACTGCCTAAATTTGCTTACATCAATTTAAGGGCCCAAAAACACCATATTCAGCTTCTACTGGAAACTTAACAAAATGCACCATATTTAGCTTCGACTGAAAATTACTTGAACACAAGAGTAATGGAATAGCCTTTCTCGTAAATATTAATAAATTTTTTTATATATATTATTATGTCGAATTTTGTACAAATTCACTTAAAGGTATAATAAAGAGTTGGGCAGATACATACATACAATTATTACTACAAATGTGAAAACAAGCGTGTACTATAAGAAATGAACCGATATTCTAACTAAACGTAAACTCAAATATCCGTAATTCCGATTTATAACAAAACCGTTACGCTTTCGAGTAATTTTGATGCTTTTTACATAGACAAAATTAGCTTTTGTTTTGTAATCTTCGTAAAAACACTTTATGAAAATTCGAGCTAATGTTATTTCGGGCAAATGTATTTTCTGACTTCCGATAGGTAATCCCATGCCGTAAAACCAGTATAACAATATTTTGTTAGTTATTGCTAACGGTTAATAAAAAAATCATTTAAAATTAAAATCAAAGCAACTCTACAGTTTCTTTGTTCTCAATATTTCAATCGCTTGTGGTTCGAACAATTGAAAATGACCAAGAAGTTTATATAAGCTTCTTGAAACTGACGTAATGGGTCTCTTTCCATCTTTTGCGCATGCAATGAGTAGAAAAAGGACAGTTAGCTATTTCATTATATCGTGAGCTTTTGTAATTCATATTTACGATTCAGTTATATACAGGGTGTCCGGTAATGAATGTATCATACTGAAATGGCTTA